ATGAAAAATTACTAAGTACCGAGATTTGGGACAAAAACTGAAATTCTACAATGGTAGTGATCAATTACCTCTCTACTTTTTATGTATAAAGGCATTGTTCTAAAATGTGTACAAACACTTTTTTCCTGAGACTATTCCTCATATTTTCCCATTTTTCTAATTAGTTTTTCTTTACAATGATCACAAAATTTTTAATGGTAACCATGGTTTGAACTGCAATGCCGTTCCCTTTACTTCTCACATTTTGTGTTGTTACTTCAATGAATAGAAAGGTGCCCTGTCTGATTCTAAGTTCCTTCACTAATTATGTGATGTAGTCACATTGCTAGCCCCTAAGAGAGCTGCACTACCAGAAGCTCGGATTTTTCCTCTGCCATTGTGTAAAGACTTCCTGTTTCTGCTTGACAATATGGCACAGGCGAGATGAGGAAATGAACTTCATAAAATTTTGCAGGCACAAATCCAAAGTTTTTTCATTCAGCAATGTAACATGCTGAGCCACAGTATGCTGTCACAGGAAATGAAAAAAAAACTTTTCTTTAAGTAAATAGATGATTTCTGGCTATGTGAGAGGCTTCACTTATGTGGCTCACAGTTAGAAATGTTGCTGGGATTTGCCAACTTGTGTGGCACAGCAGATTTCAAGAACCCCTATTGTTCTAGGTGGTCTTCACAGAAGAGTTTTCACAGTACAGGGAATGAGGTCTAAATTACAGTTTCATCATTGGCATTAATGCTGGTCAGAAGTGGGAATGTTAGCGATAGATACAGTTCAAGATACATTATGGACACAGTTCCTAATCTCTGAGGAATGGAGTTTCTTCATTGTTTATAAACATCATGTGATAAACTTCATCATCTTTTAAAAATGTTCACGCTTTAACTTTACTTCATAATGTTCTGATGTTAAAATATTTTATTCTCAATAATCTGTCTGTGAGTATTACTTCAAATAAAACAGCAATACAATTATTATTAGTTTTCTGACTTTCATATTGAATTGCAATGTCAATTCTGCCATGTAGTGGATTCCACTCCTTCAACATCCAGCCAATGTGCAACCAGGAACAATGAATCATGTGGGCTATCACCTAATTCCCTGCTAACAATCATAATGCTTGCATTAAACAGTGCCATCTTAATTTGAGCCATCACGTCAAACTAAACTGTGCTTATTGAACAACAAGGGCTAAATATTGACTGTGGTAAGCTAAAGACCATCTTAAGTTACTGGTGCATTTGGCATTTGAAGATGGCATTTACTGACCTTGACTATTCATGTGGGGCCATTGAAATGACTGCCCTAAGATCCTTGGGGCTTAACTCCTGGCATTGGTCTTGATGGGAGAAAATTCTCACCGTTTTTAATCATGTGTGGAGGTGTCTCCTAGTGGCCTGCAGACGGGGGGAGGTGGGGGGGCCTTCAAATTTTTACCTCCCCACCAAAGCCTCCAGTGCTGCACATGAAGGTAATTGAATCCATTCTCTCCAATTTGCCACTGATTCCCAAGTCAAATTGACTTCCTATACACAGCCAGCAGCTTTGCATCCACCATGCACCTCCCCTTCAAGGTGTGCAAAGGTGCTAGGAATTTCTGGTGTTGAGCCTTCCCCTGCTATGGGCAGCGTGGTTAGTATTGCTGCATGCTGCTATCAATTCAATGAGCGGGCATCAAGAAGTTGACATGCTGCTCCATCTCAATCAAAGGGCATGGGTTAATCAAGGATTACTTTCCAATTTATTGCACTCAACTCCACCCCATGCCCCAAACCTTGTGTTGTCTACCCCTCATGCATATGCTGCTGAAGCACCTTATCATGTCCAGATATTCTGCATTTTCTTTACCATATATCGGTCCTTGTTGTTTGTGAGAGCTTGCTGTGCACAATTTACCATCGTGTTTACTACATTACAGTAGAGACTACACTTAAAAAGTACACCATTCATTGTAAAGCTCTTTGTGGCATCCTGAAGTCACAAACAGCATTGTAGAACTGCAAGCCTTTCTGTTTACCATTATTTTGGTCAATCTTGCTTTCTTCATTTCTTTCACAAATTGCCTCAGTATCAGTTCATTATTTCACAATCAAATCAACTTTTAAAGTACTGTTTATAATTTATCCCTGATTATAAATAGAGTTATGAAAAGAGACACATGTTATTGATCATTGATTTGATACATCTACTGGATATTTTGGTTTTGTTGTTCTTTCAATGAATAGCGTGCTATCAAATCACATTTTGCAGTCACTCATGGTGACTAATAACAAGCTGTTCAAATTATCTGGATATTATTTAAACAAACTTGATTGAGTGGCAACCAAGATTACTTTACAGATGCTTAAAATTGCAGACTTATTTCAAAGCTACTGAGTAGTTCCTCTGTCATTTCCAATGATACAAAATTTGCTATCTGAATCCATTATTTCACTGTAATATTTAATGTTCAGTGAGTCTTCTCTTATTTCACTCCAATATTTGATAAGCATCAAGTCCCTATTATTTTTCAATAATCATTCAAGTCTCCTTTGATTTTACTATAACATTTCTTATTCAATAAGTCCTCAATCATTTCACAGCAATATTTGATACATATCCCCCATAATATTGTATTTGATTATCAGTGAATTTCTGATTTTGCAATAATATTTGCTATTTCAGTATCCTATATCTCATTAATACTTAATGTTCAACAAGACACTCAATTTCATAGTCATGTTTAGTGTTCACTCTTCCTTATCCTTTTACATTGTTTTAACATATTCTTAACCTATCTTTTAATTTTAAAACCAGATATTAAGTGAGTTTCTCAACATTTTGCATTATGACCTGATATTCAGACATATATCCCATAGTTCTGCATCATTGCTCAATGCAGTAAACAGAAATGAACAGAAGTCAAAAGGTATTTTAAATCCACACATTGTGTAAGCAGTTCTGGAAGGGTGGCGTTATTTCAATCACTACTTTTGACTAACAAATTAAAAGAGTGAAGATATCATCAGAAATGGTTCAGTGGGATTACTGCTTTCACATTCATCCAGTGCCTAATTTACAATGAGTTAGATTTCAGATTTATTGCAGGTAAATTCTGACAATCTGTTTTCCTTAATGTTTACTGTTCTGTCAAACTGTGCCATCCTGCTGCCTTACGTTATAGTGCAGCATGTACACAAACATTGATGATGGATGCTTTGTTAAACTAATTCACTTTCTCTTTGGTTAGAACAACTGTCAATGTGATTTTCTTTATCACTGATGAAACTTATTTGTTTTTCATTAGCATATGAAAAAGTACTTTAAGCAAAAGACATGAATAATCCATGTTAACCTACAGCAGGTTACTGATCATCATCTACGTTTGGGCTAACAAGTGGCATGCTGACATTTGTGATGACAACAAATAAACTTGCCTTTATAGAGTACCTATAAAGCAGAAGATGCCTCACAGAATGCAATTGGACAGAAATCTGACCCTGAGCCAAGAAAGGATATTTGCAGGGGAAGTGATGAGAGGAGTAGATCTTAAGCAGAAGAAAACAGTGTTGTAGTGTACGAAGTCCAGAACAGTGGTAATATTCCAACTCTGGCCAGCAGGAGGTAAGTTTTCTTTATTTTTTTACTTAAACCAAACAACATCAGGGTTTTGCTTTGTATAGTTGGTCTGTGATTGGGCTACACTTGGAGAATAATCCTGAGTGCACTAATAGCTACATTAATCGGTAATTTAAGATAATCAGTTGCCCCTGTAATGTGACTCTTTTAGACTTGGTAGGAAAGCCATGCATGCACAAACAGTGACCTTTTCTCTGCAATAAATAGAAATAGGTTTAGGGTTTGTGCCTTTAAGGAATTACAAGAAGCTTGACGAGCCAAAATTTTCCCAATGCCCTTTCGACAGCCATACCTCAGCCAAAGTGACTTGCCAACTAATTAGCATGTTTTTCATCTGTAGCATAAGGATCTGTGATCATTTAAAATTTGGCCTTCTCGGATGTATTCTGGTAAGTGCAAGACGGAAAGCTTTAGCAACATGGCTCTTTTCAGAGTAATGTTCAACTTCTGAACTACCAAACATCTGACTGTACAGTCACTCCAATCCAGTGTTCCAAGCCTAACAATCACACCTCTTCCCAAATCCTGTCTCAACTAGAATGGATCTTATTCACTATAGGAGCTTAGCAAGTTTAATCTGCTGTGGTATTATCAAGATTTCAATGACAAGCTCTGAACTGAAAGTGAATTGTACTAGTGGCTTCAAATTTAATTTTGTCAAACTACATCTCTGAACAGGTTGATTAGAAAATATCCATACCATGGCAATAATTTTAATATAACTCACTTGCTGAAAAATTGACCCAATCTGGTGTTTTTCATCTCATCTGATTTTGCTCTTCTCCTAAATCAGTGAAAAGCGTTATTGGGGATGGGATATAAAACAAATGCTCACATCAATCCTGTGCTTCCCTATTTCTTCATTTTGACCATAGTTATCCAAGTGACTGTCACATAACCCACATTTCCTATTTAAATTATATATAACTACAACATAGATATCCAAAGTGACATCTTTAAAACTCAAAATGCTTTGCAATTGTTTGAAATGCAAGGGCCTTTTTCCTCAACTAAATCATAAAGACAGAAATCGAAAAATATCATTCATGCAACGTGCTTTCCCATATTTCCAAACCTCATCTCTCAGACCTCAATATCTGTTTTGACAAGTCAAATCATTCCATAAAAGTCCAAATATGTAAGCCAGTCTGCATAGAATTTCAAAAGGATAAAGATGTTTAAACAGCCAAGCGTCCATTAACATGTGTAATGCATATCTCCACATCAGTAGGAATCTGCTTTCTAATGCCTCTCCTGGTTAGACATCATTATCAATTCCAGGTGCCTCCCTGGGAGCAATGTTTTACTCATTAATACATTGAAAAGCAAATGCTAACAAAATGCCATGGCCCTGCTCTAAATAAGGATGGCAGCTAATTTCCACAGTGCTGTTGTCACTGTTTTTTTTCTTGCTGATAATATCAAAGTTTTTTAACATTTCTGACAAGGCTCAGGCAGTTAAAGCGTTGAGAACATGAATGTTTGACAGTTTAGAAGTGTAGCCTGCTGTGCATCTGCCCCAAGAAAACTTTGAAATGTTCTCAATGTCTTCTTTCCTTTGCAATAAACTAATGTTTATGAGCACTGTCAAAATGTTAGTGTTTCATTTTAAATCCCTGCTCTGTGACATCTATGGCTTATGAAGCGTCAGTGATGGTTAGAATTACCAAAGTGAGTTGTAATATTGGAACCATGGATGGCACACTGTGACCAAAAGATAAGAACTAGAAAGGCAAAAGTCAACCCAGATTCCTGTTCTTATCTATTGAATCCCATTGGAATATAGTGGGCAGGGCTTTTCCTGTGGGCTGCAGGATCCATCATCAGACTCAAATGGAGTTAGCAGCAGAAGAGTGTTGAAAACAGTCACTCAAAATAAATTTCACTGGATAGCCGACTGATGGCCCAAAGATGGGTTCACAGCTAAGGAGGAATGTGAAAAATGTTTTAGGATGGAGCTGGGGTAAGTGGCAAGCAAGTCGATGATGTAAAATTCTGTGGCCTAATTCTTAGCCCTGATGGAGGCTAAAATTCCATTCCTGTGAGGAAGAAAAACACGACAAGAAGCACACTCTAAACCTGGAACCTCTACTTCCTTGAAAAATGAAAACAGCAATACTTGCAAGTTCACTTTGGAGCCAAATGCCACCCTACCTTGAATCTATATGACCATTCCTTCATCACTGCTGGGTTGAAATCATGAGATACCTTCCAAAACATAATAGTGCCCATTTACCTAAAGTAGATGAATTGCTGCCATGCAAGGAGTTAGTTCATCGTGACCTGCTCAAGGGAAATCAGGGAGAGGCAATAGATGCCACCATCATCCATATACATGGACGAATGAATGAATAGACAAAATTGTCACTAAAACAAAGTTACAGTCCGTATTCATGACAAGATCCTCATTGTGACAGTACATGGATTAAATTCTCATAGGAGAGTGGACTTGAGAGATAAAAATACATTGAATTCTATCAACCTCTTGTTGTATAAAACTGTACGCCAATCATTTGTTTCCTTGTAAAAAGTACAGTATTTGGATGAAAACATAATGTGTTTGTTTGAAGCACAGCCATACCAGCTGTATTGGAGTTGATGAAAACAGCGCAAATATGACAATGATTTACATCTTTTTTTCTGTAAAGCTGTATTTACAACACACTACAGTTCATAAACAGTTCTAATACATTTGTTTTTTTTTTCAATCTATTCCTTGCCATGCCTGCTGTGCAAAACAAGTCAATACTGGTGCACACATGGTTTATGCCTCTACATAATTTCCTGTGTTTTTCATTTATCTGTCTACCCAATAAACCCCAACTCACATTCTGTCTTTCTTCCCCACAACTTACTTGCCTGCCACCTGTCTTTCAATTGCAATAACTTGTCTCTGCCATCTTGCAGTTTTGTCTAGTCCTCTTCACTGTATGCCAGATCACCTCATTGTCATCACCAGATTTCAGTTTAATGCTGTGCCTTTCAAAGTCTAAACTATCCCGACTTGAGTTTGAGGAGAGTGCCACCATCTGACAAAGACAGAGCTACAAATCAGGGGTAAGCTGCGGTCAAACAGAAGGAGCAGGAATCAGATGTCCAGAAATCTATTCACATCAGTCATATCTGATATGGTAAGGGTCAGGACCTCTTGAGCTGGGTTCTTCAAAGAAGAGATTTTTCCAAACACATTAGGCTGCTGCTGTAATTAGAAAGTGAGAGTATTAACAATCAAAACTAGGGACTCTGCAATCTCATGCAAATGACTGATGCTTTGGATAGCAACTCTCTGTTGTAATTGTACTGCCTTATAACTTCCTTTACTTTAAATACTTGTCTATTTTTCCCTTAAAGGATTCAATGATCTATGCCTTAACTATTCCATGTGCGGTAAACTTCAACAGTCTTATAGAAAAAATAGTCTTCCTAATCTCTCTTTACTGGTGTTAGTGAAGGGGAATTTATGGTCAGTAGTGGTGCAAAGATTCCTGCTGTTGACTGCTAAGAAAGCTGTCCACAAGAGTTAGTGATTTCTATGGAACGGATTTTCCTTTTCCTATCAGCAGCTTGAAACTGGTGCCAAGTCACGGTGATCTCTTAGCATACAGCAAACTCACAAATCACATCAAAGTATCCACACAGACAGAAAATCAGCAAATTAAAGTCACTTAATATTTTCCACTTTCAATTTATTTCTCAGATATCAAAATAAATAATTATGGCTAGTTTAAGATCAAACCTAAAATCAAGATAAACAAACTTGTTATAAAGGAAAAAGATTCTTTCAGAAGAGTGGGATTTTTTTGTCATGAGACAATTTTTATATTCCATTGACATGAAAATAATTTTTCAGCATTTGTCAGCATTTTGTCATAATTACATAGTAAGCACGCCATTAAAACACTTTATTCTACGTGGCATACATTTTACAAGTTTTTTTTCTAGCAAGAGTATTAACTAAAAATTGGAAGTTTTTTTCCACGCAATGATTTTTATTCTTGCGTAGTGTGGGAGTGCCTCAACAGCACAACCTCTGGATGAGTGTGAAATTACTCTCAGAACAACTTCTGGATTTCAGCATTATTCTGTTCATGCATGCACTTTTGAAGTTGTCATCCATTTCGATGGACTAATGATAACTTTATCATTATTATCACCGCAACATCTGAGCTATGTTGGATTGCCTTCAGTCACTAGCATCCAAACAAATAAATTAGTTTCTCTAATAACTCTATCAAAGCCATTGACAATATTAAATCTGTATACTAAATCTACTCTTAGCAATATCTAATCCTGTCAAATTAAGATCAGTATCTGCTCATCCATAGCATCCTGCTGGAGAGTCTATACTGTGTGATCTCAATGACTTTAGTAGTTCTTTCAAAGTGGAGCACTTAAAACCTGATGAATTGTGACCTGACCATTTTTTTTTACACTTTACTGATCTTTATTTTACTCGTGTCTTATCCAACTGCTTGTGAGTCAGCTTATTGAGTTTGTTCGAAAGCCGATATTACTCATAGAATCATAGAATCCCTACGGTGTGGAAACAGGCCATTCAGCCCAACATGTCCACATGACTCTCCGAACAGCATCCTACCCAGACTCATCCACCTACCATATCCCTATAACCCCACATTTCCCATGGCTAATCCACCTAACCCATGCATTCCTAGACACTATAGGCAATTTAACATGGCCAATCCACCGAACCGGCACATCCTTGAACTGTGGGAGGAAACCGGAACACCTGGAGGAAACCCACGTAGACACGGGGAGAATGTGCAAACTCCACATGGACAGTCACCAGAGACTGGAATTGAACACTGTGGCACTGGGGTGGTACGGTGGCTTGGTGGTTAGCACTGCGTTCAGAGTGCCACCCCAGTGTCCTGGTCATTAGTTATCCCTCAAGCAAAATTATTAAAATAAATCTAATGTCAGGTCATTGTCATAGCACAATTTGCGGGCGCTTGCTGTGTGCAAGTTGGTGGCTGTGTTTCCTACATTACAACAGTGACGGTATTTCATTATGTCTAAAGCACTTGGATTTTTCTGAAGTTAATGAAAATACTGCATAATTGCCAGTCTTTTTTATGTATACAGATTTTCCTATATGGTGATGAAAATACTCAGAATAACATTTTAATGCTCACAACTTTGCTCTCCAAAACATAAATTCCAAGCATGAGGTTCAGGCACTTAGTAGTCTTAAAGGAAAAAAAGCAGTGAAAGATAATAAATATCAAATCTAGTAATCTTTAGTCAGTTTTACTTAGTATGTTTAAAGTCTGCTCAAAAATAAATTTGCTTAGTTCCTTAGTGATCACTGGTATTTCGTAGTTCAAAGTTATATGTGCTGTCTGATATAAACTATTAGATCTCTTTGACTAATTACATATACAGGATAAATGAACATCAAGTGGGAAAATTACTACAAAGTAATTGATACCTACTGTGTTAGCAATTCAATGAAAGGTCTAATGGTTTGAAACTCTTACGAATGGCATAAATTTTCTCTCTCTTACTTTACTCATTTCAATGATTATCAGTTAAGTTTGGATGTATATATGGTGGCTACCAGGGTGACCTAATTCTATCAGACCTTTCAACTCCTCCATTGCCTCTGTGTCATTGGATTGTTTAACCGATATCTTGTCATGACACATTGCAGATAAATGTTGGGAAAACTAAAACCATTGTCTTCAGCACCTTCTCACCAGCGACAGCATGTCCTCTCCTAAAATCCATGTCATTGATCAAGTTTCTGTTTCCCCCCAGTTACACCTCTATAAAGCACGTGGGAAACGTTTATATGTCACAGATGCTATGCAAATGGATGCTGTTGTTTTGTTTAATATCAATTCCAAGGAACAGTTCCTTCTAGAAATGCTGAACATACCAGCACCGCGTGCAATACTTAAACACTCAACAACACCAATACAAATGGCTCAAGTCAAATATTGCATTTCTTTTTGAACCTCTGGGTTACACAGTGAACCATCACTCGACAATTTGTAGATTTTTGAAAATCCCTGTGGTCAGCAAGATTGTTATCATGTGTTTTTAAGGAAAACGTGGCTCTAGTAGGATATGTTGATAAAGACTGCATTTTAATAGAAACCTATCATATTTTTCAGCATCTTTTCCATTCTTATTTGTATCAGGGTACAATGCATTGCACTTTCCAACAGTCAAACATAAGAACTTAAGAAATAAGAGTAGGAATATTCTGTCTCATTCTGTCCCTTGAATCTAGTCTCCCATCAATAAAAATTTTGGTTGGTTTTCTCTCTCAATTCCAACTTCATCCCACTTCCGTCATTTCTTGATTCACTGAGACCCCAATGACCTGTCTACTTCAGCATGAAATATACTCAACGATAGAGGATCCATAATCTTCAGGCATAAACAA